CTGACGTGGCCGGCTCAGTCAAATTTGTCCAAGAGAAGATTTTTTGGATGAGCCGCGAGGAAAAAGGGAGGATGCCGCCCAGTAGGTGGAGGAAATTATGGCCGTGGTTGAGTGGGGCGCATGCCCCGATAACGTAATGTCCGTAAATCACTCATACATGTTGCTCAGACACATGGCATGAAGCTATCAGGAAAAGTCTATACAAAGTTCTTTTTGTACATTTGATGTGTAAAGCCTGGGAATCTTGTAAATCTGTGTACATTTGGCATTTTGAACGGATTTAAATAACGGATGGGGTACTTTCTATTTTTGTAATGTTGCAATTTTTGGGCCTTTTTGTACCTTTGTAGTATGTTTTTATTTAAATAAAAAATTTCAACCTAAAAAAAAATTTCAACCTCCTTTTTTAGTGATTCATACCATAACGCTTTACTTATTCTTGCTCTCTTCCCTCCATTACAATAAGCCTCCAATAATTTCTGCATTTCCCTTAATACTTGATCATAAAACCTGATTGAGATCATCCAAAACAAAAAATTAATCATTCGCAGAATTTTCATTTTTGTTACTGCTGTTCTTCCAAACCTTGATAATTTTACCTTTTCCTATTTTCCTATATTATCTTTTATAACCTTCTTTAACTTTTCATAATTTTTCTTCTTTAATTCTTGACTATTTTTTGGAATATCCATTCCTAAATATCTTATATTATATACTATTTTTAGTTTATATTTTTCTTTTAATATATCCAATTCTTCACTATTATGATTATATAACATCATTTCCAATTTTTCCCAATTAACTTGCAATCCACTATATTTCCCAAATTCCTTTAAATGTAAATATATTCTCTCTATAGTATTTATTGGGTCTTAAATGTTAACAGTGTTTCATCTGCAAATAAATTTTAATTTTCTGACATACTCTAATTCCTTCTATCTGTATATCGCTCTTAATTGCATTTGCCAATACTTCCATCATTAAAGCAAATAATATTGGGGATAAGGGACAACCCTGTCTCGTTCCTCGGCTTAGGGTTATTGTTTCTGCACTACCATCATTTACAATTATTTTTGCCATATTTTCTGAATATAATTGATTACTTTCTTAAACTTTACTCCAAATCCCATCTTCTCTATTAAGATCTTCATTGTGGCCATTCCACACTGTCAAAGGCTTTAAATATATCTAATGCTAATATGCTTACCTTTATATTTTGCTTCTCAATATAGTAATTAATATTTAATATTCTCCTTACTACATCTGACATTTGTTGACCTCTTATAAACCCGCATTGATCTTTCCTTATATATTTATCTATAAATTTATTCAATCTATTTACCAATATCACTGTAAAAAATCTTAGCATCTTGATTAATGAGAGATATCGGTCTTTATTAGGTTTTGTTATCAATACTATCATGGATTGTTTCCAAGAGCTTGGAATGGTTTCCCCTTCCATTCTTTTATTAAACATCATTTCCATCTTAGGGACTAATACTTTTTTGAAATTTTTATAATATTCAGCACCCAATCCATCAGATCCTGGTGCTTTACCTATTTTTAATTTATTAATAACTTGCAATATCTCTTCTTCTATTTGAGTTTCCATGATTTCTTTATCCTCTTCTCAAATTTTATACTTCAAACTCTTTTCTATATATTTTTGGCTTTTTTTCAAATCTCTTTCATTTTCCTTATATAAATTATCAAAAAACCTTAGAAAAATTAAAAGTTTTTCTTTCATCTTGTTACATCTTTCCCCTTTTTTATTACTTCAGGGTTTTTTTGTTTTGTTTTGTTTTGTTTTTTTTTTTTTTTTTTTTTGCTTTTTTGACTTGTGTGGCTCTTTCCAGCATTTTGGAATTTTTATTGCTATTTTCATAAAATTCTCTTTTCAAGTAAATTAGATTTCTTTGAACTTGTTCTATTTCAATATTTTGTATTAATTTTCTTTTTGCTGTTAATTCTAACATTTTGTTTTCTCTACTTTTAATAATTTTTTTCTCTATTCTTTAATTTCTTCATCTAATCTCATTATATGTTGCTCTTTTTGTTTTTTTTTAAATTCTATGAATATTTTATTCCTAACCCTCTTACCACTGCTTTCATTGTACTCCATATTGCACATGTATTACCACCTCTTTATTTATTTATTTCCCATATTTCTTAACTCTTTTTCCATTTTTTTCTAAGATCTTCTCATTTTTAAAAATCCTTAAATCTATCCTCCATCTATTTGCCTGTCTATAATCACATTTTATTTCCATTGCTATCATTACATGGTCTGATATTTTAATTTTATATCCTCATTAACTATCTTGGACAATATTTCTGGTGTCACAATATATATTCTATTCTTGT